GGGACAGGCAGACAGGGCCAGAGATTTAGCTCAGTGGTGCAGCCACCTGCCTCACAAGCACAAGGACCTGAGTTTAATCCCTGGAACCAAAAAAACAGAATCACCATTACTACTGGCCCTTCAGAAACAAAACAAAAATATACATGAATACTATAAATGACCACATGTCAACAGATTAGGTAACTTAAATGAAGTTACCTTAGATGAAGACACAAACTAATGAAATAAATTTAAAAAGAAACAAGATACAAATAGACTATAACAAATGTAGAGACTGTGTTGGTAATGTGAAAGCTATCCACAAAGAAAAGACCAGGCCAGATGGCTTCACCGCTGAAGTCTACAACACATACAAAGCGGAATACTAATACTTCACAAGCTGTTTGAAAAAATAAAGGCCAAATCACTCCCAAATTATTAGACAGCTAAGTTAGGTAGAAATATTACAGTCAGACGAGGCTGGGCCGCTGAGAGAATCCATACAAAAGATGAAGAAAACACATTGCAACTGGGGCCAGAGACACATCTGTTGGAGGGCAGGAATCAAGTCAAAGACAAAATGACCAGGCCTACATACTCCCCCGCAAGGTGTGTGACCAAGACCTCTGAATCCATCCTGTCCTAAAAAGGTCTTTGTTCTTTCCATGTACACTTTCTATATGACCTGCTTCCCCATTGGGTCAATATTACCTAAGCGGTTACACTTGTAATCTTACTGGTTAATCATAATTTTGTTCCACACTGTACCCACCTCATGATTTTGCTCTATAATACTTCCCCTGTGAAGTGGGCTCCCCACCCCACCCCCATCTCTCAGGAGCTACAATCTCTGCCTCTTCATAAATATTTCCTACTCATAACCTCTGTTGTTCCTTACAATTCATTCTTCTACTTTGGGGAACTGAGTGTATTTGACATCTGATAGATGGGGAGTTACATTATTTCCCCTTATATCATTTGGAGGCCCTATATCAAAATCACTCTATGAGGCCAGCACTACTAATACCAAAACCAACCAAAGACATCACAGCAAAAGACATCAAGGAAAAGAGATCAATAATTCTTATGAATACAGACACAAAAATACTTTTAAAAAACACAGCTATGGATAAAGCTCAGTTTTAGAGCACACACTTAGCATATACAAGGCCCTCCCTCTCTTCGATCCCCAGCAGCACACACACACACACAAAAGCAAACTCAGGCCAAAAAATATATAAAATGGATTATACTCTCTGCCTAAATGAGGTTTATATGAGAAATATAAGACTGACTTAACATCTAACAGAATAAAGGACAAAAACCAAATGGTCATCTCAACAGATGCAGGAAAAAAGAAACATCTGAAAAAACTCAACATTTCTTCATATCAAAAACACTCTGCAACCATCAGTAAAGATTTCCCTCAACTTGATGAAGAGCGTCTATGAAAAACCTACAGCTGACATTAGACTCAACAGTGAAAGACAATGCTTTCCTCCCTAAGAACAGGAACAAGTTGAACTAACTGTCTCCTCTCAGCAAGTCTACTCTACATTCAAGACTCTAGGCAGGGCAACTGAGAAAAAGAAAAAACAATAGCAACAGGAGGCGAGTCCATTTGTAGATAATCTTATCCACAGGGGTCCTTGACAGGTACACACTCTGTGGTAGAGTGCTTGTCTACCCTGCATAAGGGCCCAGGTTCAATACTCTGCTCCCAAAAAAGAAAACGAGAATCATAAAGGATCTGCCTAAACGCTGTCAAAACTAATAAATCAATTCAGCAAGGTAGCAAGACACAAGATAAACATACAAAACACATGTGTATTTCTTAAATATATGGGTAATAAACAGCATCAAAAAGAATAAAATACTTAGGAATATTTTAAGAATAGAATTATAAAATCAATATGCTGATAACCACCAAATTTTGAAACAATTTAAGGTTATCTAAATAAAAGGAAAATATTCAATGTTCAGGGACTGAAAAACTAAATATTCTTAAAATGGGAACACTTATCAGTAGAAGAGCTATCACAGTCCAGCCAGCTTATTTACAAGCTAAGCTCAAACTTCACAGGAAATTCAACGGACCCTGCACTGCCAAAATGATTTTGCAGAAGAACAAAGACGGAGGACTCAAACTTCCTGATTTCAACACCTACTGCAAAGTTACAGCAACAAAGACAAGGCAATACTAAATACTAGTACAAGAGCAGGTAAATAAGTAAATCAGTAAAGTGAGAGCAAAGGGACAAGTATTTCATTTATGATTAGTTGATTTGACAAGAGCACAAGAGAACTCAATTGGGAAAAGACAGTCTTCTCAAGAGGTAGTGCTGAAAGAACTGAATCTCCACACATAATGATGAATCTTGATCTCCTCCTCACAGCAAAAACAAAAATTTATTCAAGATGGATCAAAGACCCAAGCAAGATAAGACATAAGAACATAAAATTCTATGCTTCAAAGATTACCATCTAGAAAGTGAAAAGAGAGCCCATAAGTTGGGGGAACATTTTTGGAGATTCCGTATCTGGTAAGGAGCTTGAATCTAGAACACATAATTAATTCCAACAACTCAATAATAGTGATACAAATAATGCAATTAAAATGAGTGTACAATCTGCTCTACATTTCTGCAAAACAAGATTTACAAAAGGCCAGAGAGCACAAGGAAAGACAGTCGACCTCCTTAACTATCAGAGAAATCCAAATGGAAACCACAGGGGACACCACAGCATATGACCATACGACCAGTAAGATGGCTATAGCAAAAAGACAAAACAAGTGTTGGCTAGGACATGGAGAAATGGGAACTCTCATTCACCACTGGTGGGAGTGGAAGAAAAAAGAAGAGTGCAGCTGCTTTGAAAACGGTCTCACATTTCCTCAAACGACGAAACTCAGGCTTACCATGTGACGTAGCTTTTCCATTTCTAGAATATGAAAACACATCCACCCAAAAACTTGTATATGAATACTCTTAGCAGTATTCAGGACTTACAACAGTCCAAAAGTGGAAATGATTCAAAGGAGCAACTGACAGGTACAATAAATGTAACAGAACTATACAACAGAATATTACTCAGCAATCCAAAGGAATGAGGTACTGATGCACATTCATTACCACATGGGTCAACCTTGAAAAGCTTACACCACTCAATCCCCGGTACCAAAAAAAAAAGAGAAAAGCTTATGCCAAGTGCAAGAAGCCCACTGCAAAGGGCCACACAGGATACTGGCCACACTTACAGGACTCATCCACAACAGGCAGACCTGCAGAGACTGAGCGTGCATTTCAGTAGTGGAAACAGGGAGTCACTGCTAGCAGGTACACGGGCTTATTTTGGGGGAAGGACAATGAAAAGTTCTAAAACTGTTGTAATAGTTACAGAATTCTGTGAACATGAAATCATTAATGTGTACACTTTAAATGAGTTAAATGAGAGTACAGGAATTATATCTCGGTAAATTACAAAACTGTAAAAAAAAAGAAAAATTCACAACTTCACTCAAGGGCTTTCAACATTTTTCTTTAGTGATTAAACATAATGCCACTGCAGTGCCAAAATTTAATCTTGTCAAAATATATGTATTTATACTTAAAGAACATATAGTGTAAATTTACACTTCTTAAATTGATGAAGAGAAAGTCTTTTCATTTTTTTCACACTACCTTAATTTCTTTTTAGAAAAGATACCTAGGAAGCAATTGAAATGAACAGACCCTTCTCAGAAGAAGTACAAACGGCCAACAAATACACGAGAAGAGGTCCAACATGCCTGACCATTAGAGAAAACAAATGAAAACAACACTGGCATTCCATCTCACCCCAGAAATAATGGCTGTCATTAAGAAATCAAATAATAACACATGCTGGTGAGACTGCAGGGGAAAAAGGAGCCCTTCTACATTGTTGGTGCAAATGTAACCTAGTACAACCAGGTTACTAGGGTAACCTAGTATCGGCGTGGAGATTCCTCAAAACACTAAAACCAGAAATTCATTTGACCCAGATAAGGAGTCCTTGCAGGTATCTTTTCAAAGAGTTAAAGACATCACATTATAGCGACACACTGTACACGCATGTTTTTCAAGAGAACAATTTATAACAACTGGATCTTTAAACAGCCTACCCCATCAACAGATGAATGGATAAAGAAAATGTGATCTTTCTACACAACAAAGGACTACTGTGCCATAAAAAAGATAAACTTGAGGCATTCCTAGATAAACGGATGCAACCTGAGACCACAATACTATGTGAAGTCAGACACACAAGCATAAATATTGCACAGTTTCTCTTATGTAAGAAATATCCAGCGAGAGGAAAGTAGAAGCTAAATAGAAGGGAGCTGTTTTTCAAACAGATGAAGGAACAAGGGGGAGGGGGAAAGGAAGAAAAAGGGATAAAAAAACAACTGAAGGGGAAAATGATGAACTAGAGCTTCTGCGAATGGAAAGGGGACTGAAAGCTGGAGAGAGTGCAGGAGGAGGCAGGGTAGGGAAAAAAGAATTGAGATGTGGGTGTGCACCACTTCCCACGTGTATCACTCAGTGTAATCACTGCGTACTGCAAACATGCACCCATTTTTAAGAAACTGAAGGAGTATTGAAATAGCAGACAAAAAACAAAGCGAGGGGAGGGATACGATAGGGCTCCGAGGAGGGCCCTTAGCTGTGGGAGCCCTGGGCTTGACCGTTAGCCTCACACACACGAACAGTAGATCACTGGCGCTCCCGGAGAAAACTGACACACCCATTTCGTTCATTATTTTACTAGTAGCTCCTTAAAGTACTATACACAGCATTTACTACATACAGTGTTTCTCTGGGCATCCCTTTCTCAGACAGAACGCAATTTTCACACTGTATCACTGTTCTTGCCATTTAAATGAGATTTACACCAGCAGGCACAAACTTCAGGCATCTTTTTAACATTCTGCGCCAACATGGAACACCGCCATCAGTGAGGCGGGCGCCTTTTAAACACCCACTTTCCACACACGTTACCTGATCGATGCCTCTCCCTCGGCACTGAAGAATGATCACTTCCAGAAGCTTGGCTGCGTGGCACTCGGCGTCTTCCCCTGCATCTCCGCACAGGACCTGCAGTGACCACAATGGGGTCATCCGGTCAAGGCTACCCAAAGTGACCCCCACACAAGCCCAGGCAGGGGAGTCGTGGTGTTCAAATTCACCTCACCAACCCAGAGAAGGGGGGTTAAAGGCCCATCCATTGTCTACCTGTCTATCATATGTCCTCACGTCCTCAGAGGATGGAATAATTAATTCACTCGCTGGACTTTGAATTAAAGTAAAGCTACGTGACTTATAAAGTAAGGTGTTCAGGTAAGTGAAGCCTCCCTTTAAAAGCAGTAAGACAATAGAATAAAAAGGAGAACCTTTATAAGAAATCGAATGCTCTTTTCTGTTCCTTCTGAATGCTTGTCCATATACACCCGTATTTTCATAATAATTGTAATTCGATACACACCTTCCATTTACCCTCCTGGACTTCATAATTAGATATATTTTCCATAATTAACCACTAAGTACCGTATCACAGAAGATGAACTGTAACAGTTACTGCTGTCCCATCCTCAAATCCATACTTTTACTATTATAAATAATTCCACAGTATACAGAAAACTTGGAATATGATTTGAAATATAGCTTGCTCATATATTAGAAATTAAGATGGAAAATTAGTAAATTAAAGAGTCCAAACACAAAAACTTAATATCTAGATAAACCCAAAGAAATAGAACAGAAAATAGAGCAGAAACTACAGACAAAGAGAGGTGACAGAAAACAAAAGCAGGTTCACTTTAAAAAGGTAATGAATTGTACAACGCTTGCCAAAATTATTTTTAAAAGAAAGCAAACTTTTAAAATATTAGAAATGTAAGAGACAAATACTAATTAGAAATAAGAGAACATTTTGGAGAATTCCATAATCCTTATACATTTTAAAACTTAAAATACTGGGTAACTGCCTAGAAAAATACAGTTTAAGAAAACTGAATTAAAAAGAAATTCCAAGTGGGCCGGGGTTTGGCTCAGTGGTTCTGCTACCTGCCTCACAAGCGCAAGGTCCTGAGTTCAACCCCTGGTACCAAAAAGAAAAGAAATTCCAAGTCAGGGATGGGGGCTTCCTTGTAACCCCAGCCCTCCAACGCTGAGGCAGGAGAATCACGGTGAGTTTAAGGCCAGCTGGGGCTACATAGCAAACCCTGTCTCCAAAAACTAAATGAAACCAAACAAAACAAAACAAAATCCTAGATAAAGATGATAGATTGAATGTTTCTATTTAACTTTATTTCCTCCCCAAGGCCACTAAAATGGCAGCAACGAGATTTTAAAGGTTCACATTCACAAAGACAAAGCGAACAATAAAATTTTTGCAAGTTGGAAAACAACTGGTAAGCAGACAAGCAGCCCTATTTATATAAATATACAATTCCACCTTTAGGGTCTATCAAGACCTGAGTCCTAAATACGAACAGGCTTTGGAATCAGCCCGGCTCAGCCATTTGTTAGTTACATTCTGAGAAAAGCTATTTAACCTCTGTGTCTTACTCACCCACCTATAAAGCAAGGACGGTACCATTACCTACTCTGTAGGATTGTATGACAGAGAAAGAATGATTTGTTGCCTTTTCCCAAAACTGCACCCACTTGGGGATGTGGCTGGTGAATTTTGGTTTGCCAGACAGAGAAGAACAAGCTTAAGCTTGTATCTTGTAACTAAAGGGGGTGGAGGACTCCTAGACCCAGACTGCTGGGTTCACATCTGCCGCCAACACGCAGAAGTTTTGTGACTTAGAACAATTTCCTAAACTTCAGGCACAGTGAAAGAAATTATAGCTAGTTTTCTCATCTTCCTCCTAAGATGAAATAAGTTAATAAAGTGCTCAGGAAATACCTGGTCAATTTGAAGAATTCAATAAACATGAGCGAACACTAAAACCTACAATATGAAATACATCTGAACAACTCGCTAAATCGAAGGACCTGTCTCGTCTATTCACCGCTTTCTGTATTCGCTACACTTTCACGACAACCGAGCAGGAAATGAGACCGGGGATATCAAGGAAGAAGATGGGTTATCCGAGAGCTCAGGGAGTCTGTTATTGTTTTATTTCTTCTCTCATTGAGTTTATTGGTACATTTTAGGTGTACAGTACAGTTACAATCATTATGGGGATCTTGTACCTCTACATGACAGGTCTTGGTTCTCATTTTCCCCCCTCATCCCTGACCTCCCTTCACCCCCTCCTCCCTTCCCTATTTACAAAGACTGTGTTTCCATGTTTTCCTTTTCTCATATTTTTTCCTTTTCCCTTATTACCTTTCCCTTACCCTTCCCATTTTCCCTACACCTTTAGCCTTTTCCTTCCTATTTCACATTGTCAATTGTCTCATTAGGAACTTATGTACCATTATAGTTTTCACACCAGAGAAACTATTTGGTATTTATACATGTGTGATTTATTTATTTCACTTAGGAGTATATCCTCAATATGTATCCATTTTCCTATGAATGACTCTAATTTCTCATTCTTTATGGCTGAGTAGTATTCCATTTTATAGAAAAACCACATCTTCTTTATCCAGTCTCCAACGGATGGGCAAATGGGCTGTTTCCAAGTTTTAGCTATTACAAACTGTGCCACTATAAACATAGGTGTGTGTATGTCACTGTGATATGATTCTTTCAATTCTTTTGGAAAGATACCCAGAAGAGGGATGGCTGGGTCAAATGGAACCTCTAGTCCCAGCTCTTTAAGGTATCTCCATATTGATTTCCATAGTGGTTGCACCAGTCTGCACTCCCACCAACAGTGGAGAAGGGTTCCTTTCTCGTCACAACCCCACCAACATTTGTTATTGAATGATTTCTTTTTTCTTTTCTTTTTTTTTGGTACCGGGGATTGAACTCGGATCCTTGTGCCTGCGGCGGAACCATTGAGCTAAATCCCCGACTCTGGTTAATTTCTTGATAGCAGCCATTGCTTGTGGGGTGAGGGTGTCTTTTAAACGCAGTTCAAACCCTTTGGCTTAGATGTAAAATTGACTTACTTCTCAAAATTTCAGACTTTTCATAACTGAACTGGGTCCTAAGCCAGATATACTAATTCAAAGCACTTACCAGATGTTGGTAACACAAGTCTTCTAGGAAAGCAATGGGTTATACATTTACTATTTCATTTCCTACTATACAGCAAACTTTTGGTTTCTGGCTATGTGAGGTTTCTAAAGTCTGCTGCCAGCTCTGTGGAAATCCAGTTTGATGTTTTGTGTATATGTATATTCATAAAGAGGAGAAGAAAATACTGTTGTAACCTCTAGCAGGGCAATTCTAACCTGTGGCAAAGATACACAATAAATGACCACGTCTGGGTATAAATAGAACAACAGCCGTTATGAGGATTACAAATTATCTTGTATGCACTAAAGAGCATTCTTTTTCTTTTCAATGGCGTTCTTTTCCAACTACAGTATCACTTTGTTTTATCTTATACTTTTATGTTCCTCTGATGGATTCTAATATATACACTCACCTAGAAGAAAAAAGATTAGTGCCCTTTGGTCACAGATTGAAAAACTGTGTGGTTTGACTGTGACTTAAAGTATACAGAAGGATGGACAATGGTTATTATTTCCTTTAAAGGACCTAAGCATTCACAGATCTGGGTACCCAGAAATCCTGGAAGCAGTTCCCATAGATGACACCAAAGGATACCTACAGTTACTTTGAAAGTTAAAAACTACACAGACATTAAAGTGATAAACATTTCTGGACAGAACACATACGAAACTTTCAAATTACAACAACTGCAAGCACATTCTCAAGATGCAACCTGATCAACATGTTAGGTGTAAGGCAGAGTACAGATAAGAACGAAGCTGAAACACTCAAACACCGGTGAGACACTTGGGACAACCGACTAGAACACGCTTACCTTTCTACACATCGTAAAAAGTACTTCTAAATGCTTTGGATTTGAGAGTAAGGTGTTTGTATCTATGGTCACATAATTATGCAGGAGAGGCATCATGTCTGAGGAGGAAATTCAAAATTCCAATGAGACTTACGCAACAGGAGAAGAAACAAATGATTCCCTGATACCCCCTTCCTGCGGCCCCACACTTTACTGTCTTTCCAGCAACCACAGAACACTAGGCAGGAGAGTGGTGCCTCCACCCTACTTGTAAACAAAACATGGGATTACAGTGGGCACAGAGTGTTGCAGTGATCGCTTCAAATCTTTTCTGCCCCACTGCACTCATCACCATCAGACAACACTGTAATTTTCTCAGTCACCTGACTGCTTTCTCCATCTCTTTCCCACTAGACTACAAGCTCCAAAAGGAAGTCCACAGCTGTACTGCTGAGCTTAGAATAGTGCTGAGAACACCGCTGGTATTCACAAAATATTTACTGAATTAAATATGGATATATACTCTAGGGCAAACTAACTAAAGACATAATAAGTTGGGCATGGTGGCTCAGGCCTCTCTGGGAGGCTGAAGCAGGAGGATTCCAAGTTCAAGCCCACCCAGGGCAACTTAATGACTCAGCAAGACACTGTCTCAAAATTTTAAAAGAGGCTTAGATGTGGTTTAGTGCAAAGGGCCCACCTAGATTTGATCCTCAGTAATGAAAAAAGGAGCCTACCTCTACTGGCTATAAACTCAAGGCAGAAAAACACTGCCACAATAGCTCCACACTTCAACAGGAAAATGAGAACATTTTCTTACTAGTACTGGACTCATATGGGTTTTTACTTCAAGTGGCAAAATTATATCTAGATACAGAACAGCAAACACATTATATGACCAAAGCCATACCTGTGAAGTATTCATAGCAATCCTGCTGAAAGACTTCATATAAAATACCTAGAAGCTGCCACATTTGAGGGGAAATAGTGTGGCAGGTTAAACTGTATGCCAATGAAAGAATTTCTTCATAAAACTCTAGAAGGAAGAAAAAGTCCAGTTAGAATGCTAGGCAACAGCACAAGCTCCACACTGAGACCACACAGAGTGAGTTTACACACACGTCTTCTTGTATCTCACAGAGGATGTACACACCCCTTTCTTGGTCTGCAACAGGACTACAGATTCACCACCTTTCATTTCTCCCCAACACCTACCCTCCCCTTACTGCCTTTGCAGCAAGGCAAAAAGATATTTTTACTAAAATTTCTTATATTATTAAAGAAATATTTTTCCTATTTTGTAACACATTAAATGTGGTTTATATTTATAAAATTATACTAGAAATGTATATGAGAAGGAATTGATCATCACACTTTACTCGTGGAGGATTTCAAGTTTACAAATGATTAGCAATGTTCTTTGGGGAGCTTAATTACATAGGGTTAAAATATCTGCCCAGCTCACTTTCTATTTTTACAAACAACTATATAGTGTGTATTTTTTTCAGTTTATGAAACTGAAACATTTGTGCAAGAATTCTTCAATTTACCTCAAAAGGGTTGCACCCGCTATCAGGAAGAGTCCAAAGGAAATGTTCTTATATTCATACATATAATTTATTACGAACACCATCAGTCAAAAGTAAATTGTATCTTAGTATACAATCAGAAATACAAACCTCCATACAAAACTTACAAATAACTCCTACCATGTTCCTGAGCAAAGTCTAATCCAAAGTTCTGTTTTCTCTCATAAAAGGAATGAATCACTTATCCTAGCAACTTCAATGTTTTTCGTGTAACATTTAAAATACACTCAGAAGTCAGTAATACACACATTTGCCTTACTGAAAGCCACGTGAGATGGAAATTACAAATACTGGGAAACAATCACCTGTAGAAAAACAAATTATCTGCACACAGGATTCCTGAAAGTTCTAGCATACCATTAAAACAGGTAAACGGACCAACAGAATACCAAAGAGCACTGAGAAGGAGGCCATGTATTTACAGTCAACTACTTTCCTGAAAAGAGGACAAGATAACACAGTGAGGGATGCTGGTAAAACTGGACACCCGTCTTCAGAGGGGTGAGACTCATCTCGCACAAGAAACAAAAACCAACTCAGAATGCTTTACACAAACATTAGCACCCGGAACTGTAAAAGAACTGGAAGAAAATACAGGGGGAAAGCTCCATGGCATTGATCGGGGGAAAGTTTTCTGATACAACCCTGAAGAGCTAGGAAAACACCACCAAAAAAATAGGAAAATGGGATGATATCAACCTAAAAGGTTTCTGCACAGCAAAGGAAATGAGGGAGAAGAGACAACCTACAGAATGCAAAAAAACACGTGCAATGGATCTGATAAAGAATTAACATTTAAAATACATTAGGAACTCAACAGCAAGAAAATTTAAGAAGGGGAACCAGGCACGGGACATGCACTGTTAGGAAGCTGGGGCAGGATGACTGCTTGAGCCCAGTTCAAGGCCAGGCTGGGTAATATTGAGAGACCCCCAAGACATACGAATGGCTAGCGGGTTATGCAAAACTGTTTAACATACACCAGGCTCAGTGGCACACTGAACTGCAGAGGAGGCTGAGACAGAACTGCAAATTCGAGGCCAGCAAGGCAATTTAAATGTAAAAATGTCTTGGGCCAGGATTTAGCTCAGCAGTTCTGGCGCCTGCCTCTCAAGCACCAGGGCCGGAGTTCAATCCCTGGTACCAAAAAAGATAAGAATGTCTCAAATATAAAACGTTCAACATGACCTATCATTAGGCAAATGCAAATTAAAATCACAAGAAGATTAGGATGGCTATTATCAAAAAGACAGAAGATCACTAGTGGAGAAGGCATAAGAACACTTTTTTATAGTGCTGGTGGGAATGGATACTCGTGCGGTCATTGGGGAAAATAACACAGATTCTGCAAAAATGAAAATTAGAGCTACCGTATGATTCAACAATCTCACTACTAATATTTATCCAAAGGAACTAAAAGCAAGATCTTGAAGAGCTGTCTATACCCCCATATCCGCTGCAGTACCATTCACAACAGCCAAGATACGGAAAAGCCTAAGTGACTGAATAAAGAAAACAGAAGAAAAGAAGAAAAGAACACTCCATCGTTACTACAGCAGGGACAGACCTTGAGTCACTGTGCTATGTGAAATGAGCCATAAAAGCACTCACAAAGGTTTCTCTATCATTATTATTGGCAAAAGCCCACAGCTTACGTTAGGGTTCACCCTGCACGGTGCATTCTGTGCCTTTTGACAGAGGTACAGTGTGCACATCCATCATTACTACACCACATAGAACAGTCTCAGTACCCTAAAACTCATCCCTGCTCCGCACTCCTGACCCTTGGAAAGTACTGATCCTTACTGACAAACTCTTTAAAGATTATTATACTTCTTTTTAATTGACATTAAAATTATATGTATTTATGGGGTACAACATGTTTTAACATATGTATTATTTTGTAGAATGACTAAATCCAGCAAATTAACACAGCACTTACTCCATATGCCCATCTTTGTTATGCGAATACTTAAAATTACTCTTGGCTACTTTCAACAATACAATATATTGCTACTCACTACAGCCATACAGCGGACCAGTATCTCCGTTCCAACCCTGCAAACCATCATAATAGTCTCTGAGTGAGTTCAATGTTTTTTAGGTCCTACATAAGTGAGGTTCTGTGGCATTTGTCTTTCTGTGCTGGTTTATTTCATTCAGACTAATGTGCTGCAGGTTCATCCAGGTTGCTATGAACTCAGGATTTCCTTTTTTTTTAGGCTAAATAAGTATTTCCATTGTGTATATATACCACATTTTATTCAAATGATTTAAAATATTTAGACTTGCCTGCTCAATTTTTCTTAGTGAAGCAAACAACAGGAGACTGGAGTCAACAGTCACCTCTTCTCCCACCTTCATGCACAACCTGAATCTCCCTCACACCCAGGGACTCAGGGCTGCCCGTTTCAGACTGTGCGGGTCTGAGTACTCTGCATAATCCACGTGACACCCAGCCACTGCTACATCTGCCATCCCCTGCCCACGCCACCCAGAAGCCAGGCTGCATCAGGACAGTGCCCACTTGTGGCAAGAAACAGGCCCATGCTTAACCACTGTCCCAGTTCACTGCCGGAAACATAATCACATTCTCTGTCCAACCAGAGAAATATTCAGACCAAAATACATTCCCACGAGATGAAAGATTTTGATGTAGAAAATTAAAACACAAAATAGAAATAACAGAAGAAATAAAGCCCAGAAATATGAAATGAACAAAAAAGAAAAAAAAAAAAACTAAAGCTAATCCCATTTTCTGTCCTTTACGTTCTAAAGCCAAAAATTCTTAATTAGATGTAGTGCAGGTTTATCTCTGAATGAAAAGTAGTATCTGACATCAGAAAGAGTATCCCAACTTGAAAAGAATCCAAATTTCTCCTCCTCAAATCATCCATCCTGTTAAATTTTCAAGAGCTAAATATGCATCTTGAGTACGTCAACTTAAAAACAAAGTATCAGTCTACCTCTTTTAATAAACCTTTGTACTTACCCATTATATGTTTCTGTATAACAAGGTCAATAATCCGTAGACAGATGTTCTCTAGTTGCTGTGTAATCTAAATATAAATGACAAATACTGAGTTTAAAATTCATCATAACCCTCAAATTAATATTAACATATTTCAATAAAAATACCTACAGGACATTTTTGAGAGAGGAACTTGACCCCTCTCAAAAGTTAATTTTAATCTTCATGTGAAAAATTAAACATGCAAAAATACAAGGAAATTCCAAAATGTAGACCAATGACAGGGACAGGGTTAAATCCACAGTGAGTTGTCAAAGCTACTAGGAATTAAATCAGTCCCTTCTTACAAATTTCATACCAAAGTAAATTCCTATGAGATGACAGGTTTTGATGTAAAACGCAAAACAGAAAATAACAGAAGAGGCCGGAGATTTAGCTCAGCGGTTCAGTGGCCTACCTTGCAAGTGCAAGGACCCGAGTTCAATCCCTGGTACAGAAAAAAAAAAAAAAAAAAAGAAGAAGAAATACAAAGGTTTTATAGTCCTGAAGAGGGAAAGTAACTACAAACCCAGAAATAAGTACTGAAAAAAAAAACTAAACAATCTGCTAACAAAGATAAGAAATTCCTGAATGAGGCATGAGGAAGAGAAGATAAAAGTCTGAAATATCAAATGACATCACCAAAGTCAGAGCCCCCTTACATTAAGCCAATAAAGGCAAAGGTTACAAAAAATGAGTAAGAACAAGCCTTAAGCTGATAAAAAGATGCTAATACATGATAAGATTACATATTCAAAGAGCCAGTGTTACACTTTTGACCTATCAGACTGGCAGTGACCAGGAAGCTCGGGGCGAGGAAGACTGAACTGTGGAGAGGAAGCTGTACACACTACATAGGACATGAGAGCAGCCTCCCCGAGCCTCCTCATACACAGTGCCTGTGACCCACCAATTCCAACATCCCGACATATTCTCAACCTGTGCTAATGACACGTCAGAGGCCGTCCACTACACCGGTGCTTGTCACTACAGCCAACGGTCCACTTAAACAAGGAACAGCTGAAACACATCCATTTTCTAGGGAATGGTGATATAAATTTGACATATCATGCAAGGAATAGTATGCAGCCACTAAAAATACATCATTTATTGACTGATACAGTGGGATCACCAAGATTAAGTTAAAAATGCCAGCGAAGGGCCGGGGATTTGGCTCAGTGGTTCTGCTGTCTGTCTCGCAAGCCTGAGGACCTGAGTTCGATCCCCGGTACCAGAAAGAAAAAGGCAGCTAAAAGCTGCATGTGATATGTGATCATTTTCATGAAAAAATATAAACCCTACCTCACCTTTGGGGAAAAAATTTTTAAAAAACTTGATAAAAATTGCTATATTCTGAGAAGGGTAAAATTAACTACAGAGTGATAAGGTAAAATTTCACTGAACATCTTTTTATAATTTAAATTATTCAACATGTTTCTATTAAATATTTTTCAAATTAAGAAAAAAATTGTATTTTTCATGTAAATATCCTTTGAGGCATATATTAATACTCAGTTTCAATTTTTTGCATTTTTAAATTTGCAATTGACACATAATAATTGTACATATTTGTAGGGTATAGTTTTTTTTGTTGTTTTTTTTGAGACAGGGTTTCACTATGTAGTGAGACTGACCTGGAACTCACTGTGTAGCCCAGGCTGGTCTCAAACTCACAACGACCCTCCTGCCTCAGCCTCCCAAGTGCTGGGATTACAGGCGTGCACCACCACACCTGGCTTGTAGGGTATAGTTTCATAATATATGTTAAACTGCTATGTTGAAGTTCAAATAATCCAAAATTTTCCAACTTAAAAAAAACTGCCAATATACTCACATAACCATTAAATTCAAATGTAAATGCTTTTAAAAATGCACTTGCTTATCACCTAGTTTAGATTTCCAACTTTGCTTTTCATACATTCAGTATGTGCGCATGTATTCACACACATGTAGTTTTTCCTCTTAAGGAAATACTATTTTTGAAGTCTGCTTGTAAAGGATCAAAGTTCCAAATTAAAGGAGGTCATTAGGAGCCAAAGATTCCAGGTGGTTTTGTCTTTAATTATCCACTGGATAAACTGGGAAAGTCATTCAGCTGAAGGCTTTACGTGTTTTCAGCCTTGGGTAAGAAACCTAGATTTCAATACTGTCTCTCTATTTTAAACCGTTCGTCCCTTGGTAATCACAGTAACTTCACATGCTCCATTACCATTTGACATTTAAAATAAATATCAAGAGCAAAAATTTTTTTAAAAAAGATAAAATGCTATTACATTTTTTTAAACTAATCCTACAGCTCATTCTCCTACTCACACCCCCAGTCCACTGGGTAAAATGGACCAAAGTTCCAAATATATAAGGTGAAAGAAGTACTGTTAAGTATACTTGTTGTAATTTAATTTGGAATGCCTAAAAGACCACAGAATTTCAACATGGAAGCATACAAAAATAAAACAATAATAATATAATTAATGTGGAAAAAAGTTCACATTAATCCCTGTAGGTCCAAGAGGTGACTACTGAACTATCTGTAAGAACCAAGCACTCTCCCATTGGTAACTGATAAACACATGATATGTCAATAGCCATGTGGTTTAACAATTTACTTAAGGAACTTGCACCTGCTTCCCAAGACCTTACCATACAAAGCCAAGCAAGTCAACCTGGGCTCACAGAAGTAGTGAACAAAATCTAACTTAAGGTCAAAGTGATGTTATACTTGGCAAGAACTGCAGGTTGTAAATAGGAAAAAACTGATACATTATCAGAATAAGCAGACTACAAACTCAAATGCACAACTTACTAGCTCTCTGATCTTGGACAAATCTCCTGAACTGACCTGAACCTTGTCTTCCATTTTTGCAAAAGGACCCACAGCTACCTGTTCTCTATGGCATTAATAAGATCACATCAGCTAATGATATGACAGTGTTGCATACATGTCTGTGTAAATTATTTGAACATTATTTGAGAATTTGGTTTATGAAGCTCTCTTTTTGGGGGTGGGTACCAGGGATCGAACTCAGGTCCTTGTGCTTGCAAGGCAGGAGGCAGAACCAGAGCTAAATCCCCGGCTCCGGTTTATGAAGCTCTTGCCCTTATTCTCTCCTGGTCATGTAATACTTGTTATGCTAGAATGCTGTGCCTTTACAGGTAAGCTGGCTGGACTGTCCACTTCACTGGCTTGGGAGCTGCCCAGAGACTGGTAAAGCCCACTCAGGGTGTGTCTGGGTGGGTCATGACCTTGGGTCTATGTCTTGTCCCTGGTCCTTTCCTCTCTGGCACTGCCCTGCCTGCTTCCCAGCTGCTGGGAACTAAGCAACTTTGCTCCACCACATCCCTCCCCATAAGGCTCCTGCCTTGGAGCAGCTAGCCATGGACTGAAAACCCTAAAATCATGAGCCACATGAAACCTCTCCTCCTTTAAATTGTGGGTATCAGAAATTTGTCCAGTGACAGAAAAGCTGACTAATACGAGTGACACTGAGATTGAATGGCTGTCACTCTATGAAGAAGACTACATGATGGGTTGCCAGCAGGCAGGGATGGTGTATCACTCAACACCTAGCCAGGACACAGATGACATGATGAACTGAGCTGTTCGATACAAAAGGGATCTAATATGTAAATACACATGTGATAATTCTCCTTAATCATTTTAATATGTTTCTTTAAAATCTGAGGGAAAATTTTAAAGCCTAGCACCAAAAGTAAGGAGCAATTTAAAGGCCAAGACTTGGCAGGCATGGTGGTGCATGCTTGTAATCCTGGCACTCAAGGGGGCTACGGCAGGAAGATTGCAAGTCTGCGCCGGGCACAGGCAACTTAGTAACTCAGTGCAAGTCTGTCTCAGAAAAGGACTGGTACTGTGGTGATGAAGGTCCTGTGCCCCATCCCCAACAGAGGAAAGCAAAAGCAACAGCAGCCAAGATCTTAAAATTCATGCCCACTGGTCATATAAGGTTCAGTTAATATGACTACTATATCATGATACACCAGAAACCTTACCTCTTTATGATCTTCTACAACTGTTAAGATAGTATCAATAGTATGTAAAATTCCCATCGCCATCACTGTTTTGTCTTCAACTTCGTCATACTCATCACTCTGAAGAACTTTGCCAAATATCTCAGCCTATGAAAATCACATTAAAATATTCAACCATTGAACCCCTTCCCATTATAAAAGTTAATGAAAGGAAATATCGCACATCTAAATGTCCACACTGCTCAAACATGAAGTTCTACACTTTGCTGAGTGAATGTTTTTTCATCACAGAACCTGTCATGTCTTAAACATGGCCATCTTTCCTTTTCTCATCACCGAGGTGGATGCTGCACTAGTGATTACAACCATGGCCTAATATTTAACTTCTGGTTGTCATTAAACTAAAATCAAAATCTAAGAAAACAAAAATCAACACCAAAAAGAAAAAGTGTAATAGATGGTTTAGAAGTTAAAGGTCACCTAGAAAATGAAACAAAAAGAACAGGACTGGAAGGGGGGCTGGGTAAGGAAACTAGACTCAGTCCAGCTCTGATAGTCCATATTGGGAAACATAGAATGGGGAGGGAAATATGGAGAAATTTATTAAAGACGTAATATAAAATTTGCACTAAACTAAACGACATGAGATTGCAAATTTAAAGTTCAGAAAGAGAAAATTTAGAAGGCTTCTATCAAGGGACACCACTATGAAATCTCAGAATATTACCAATGAAAAGAGGTTGTCTGAATGTTATCACATGTAAGTCTAGTTACATGCAGGAATATCAGTCATTACAGCACAGATTTTTATATTAATATGTTACAAGTAAGAACTCTAAATTTTGGAGTTTAATTTACTCAGATCATTAAAGCCTTCTATATCAAACTAACCAAATTTTGCCCAGTCTTCAATTTCGTAAGACTTCATCTCTAAAGTTTTAAAAGGGCTGGGGATTAGCAAAGTGGTAGAATGCTCGCCTAACACGTGGGAGAAGCTGGGTTCGATGCCTAGAAGTTAACATAATAAAATGATTTGCATCGGTCCTACCAAGTGCTGGGTCATATCGACAGCAATCGATGCCACCTCCTGGCTGTATTCGCATACCATCTTCTGGATGACGTTAGTGACATCATCGTTTTCTGTCTCTCTGACAATGTGCAACAGCTCCTGCATAATGGGCCTCACGTGCGGCTTCATGTATTCCTGAGCTAATGCAACAGAACAAAATTAGTGAGAAGTATCTGAGCACAGATGGCGAAAGGAATGATCTCAGGCACGCTGCCAGCAACACGGGTTAACACCCAGAGGGAATTCTAGCTGCCAACGTGCTCTGTGGTGGATGAGCAATAGGAGCCTGCTAAACAATGCCCACCCCTCTATGGGCGTCCCATGCATAACCGAGATAAGCAGTTCTGTGCCTGAGAGGACTGTGCTGCCCCAAACGCCATGGTCCCATGGAGAAATTCTACTCATACATGTGCTCCTGCATCAGTCTGACTTGGAGAACATGAATACCATGATATCACATATAAACCAGTTACCTAACAACCACATCCAACACTGATGGGCCCCCTAGCCTGCCCTAACCCATCTCTACCCTCTCTCCTCCCAGCACATCTGTACACAACATCCAGTCCTCCCACTGAACAGAGGTAAACAAGGCTTGTGTTCTTCACAAAGCTGGATTTATCTGCAGAGATTTACCTGAACTCTGAACAGAGCATTCTGTTAAGCAAACAAGGGAATCATCTATGCTATTATTCTCTAGAAATACTGCCACCTTCAGAACTGGTAGAAACATAGCATCCTGGAGTTGAAAGGCATTGTGAAGCCATCTTGTCAACCACCACCCCCTGGCACTGGCAACATACATGTGCTTCACCTGACCTAACGTGGCAAAGCAGCAGGAACAAAAGTGGACCCAGGCTGCTTAATTTCTAGCCTACCCCAGTGCACACCAACCACTAACTCGTTTCCTCATCCCAATTTTTTTCTGGAAACCACAATCAATAGGACCTCCTAAAAAGGGCAAGAACAAACCCTTATAAAGTTCTAAGGAAATAAAAGACCACCACTTCCTCAGGGAAAGAAGTGAATGAATTAAGACCATCCCAAAATATGAAAAATAAACCTCCTAAGTAGTGTTCTGGTTTACCTTGTATCTGGTTAGAAATTAAGGACTGGAGGGCAAGGGCAGCCTCAACTTTGACAGGCATCTCCTTATCTTCAATCAGGCTCTTTTTTGCCAGTTCCACCGCGGTTCTGAGGTTGAGCTCATTATGAAATTTCAAAGAACTGAAAGCATGAAGCACCCAGCAGGACTAGGAGGAGAGAAGAGTAGGAAGCTACTGGGATTGTGGCATTCTGCAATAATGTCACACAGACGAGAACTCCTTAAGGAGACACGTTTATATCAATAATTACCTTAGAGATCAGGGCTTTGAGACACATAACAAACATGTGGAGAACTTACTCTAGCTCGCAGATATCCCAGGTTAGACAGTAACAGTGGAAATACATGGTTCTGCAGAAATAACTCAATTTGGTCCTTGAATAAACTCTTCTGTCAGGAAACAGAAACCTCAGCTTAACAAAGGGTTATGGAAGACTCATTTCCTAATAAAGATTTTCATTTCATACACTTCTATCACAATTCTATAAAGTTGTTTGACCCACCGATCTCATGTTTTAAAACCACACAGAAGGAATCCTTTAGTTCAATTTGACATTGATTTTTGCAGAAATAAGAACACTAATGTCAGTTTGTACCCTTCTTACACAGCACGAGTTTCATACTAAAAAACTGACAGAACAGATCAAAGTCAAATTTTCTTTTTAATTCAAGAAATAGACAAGAGGAAGAATACAGTAAATAAATCATCCAGAGGTAGTCTCCAGTTTTTTTTGGTTTTTTTTTTTTTCTGTTACCAGGGACTGAACTCAAGACCTTGTGCTCCCAAGGCAAACGCGGCACCACTGAGCGAAATCCCCAGCCCCCCAGTTTTAAATTATCCATAACTTTTATGCTCTTATTTGCCTATGCTTCACAGTCTTATTAAATAAATTAAAAGTTGATAATCTTAACCTTCAATAAAATCTCCGCCAAGGAACCAATCACATGCAAGGCCCCATCTTTCTTCCTAGGGTCAAAGTTTGGGTCTGTGAGGATTTGGTAACAGAACGCCATCATTTTTGGCAACACCTAAAGAAATGGAAGAAACCATTTTCAAAAAATAAAGCCATTTTAATTTGGTTTTTCAAGCAACTATAAGCTCAATCAGAAAGGCACAATTTATTAAGAAAACACAGTAAGAGATACTTCACTTTTTTTCCTTTAATAAGGAAAAAGCTCTGAAAGTAACAGGTGGTAACTAATAACAATATGGCTTTTCAAATACTAGAAATATAGAAAGTCAAATCAACACAGGCCACCTTTCAGTCTGCATTTTAAGAAGGTAACTATGTACCTCTTTCCTTTTCTTGGCAGCAGTATATAGAAGAGTCTGGGCTGCTGTAGTGGGAGAAGCATAATCTTCAAAAATATCTAAGGTTGCAAAAAGTTAAACCATGTTAGTAAAAATACAGTTCACTGTCATATAGATCCTAACCTTAACTGGCATCACCACACCAAGGGACACATCAGGCCACACGAGGCTGGCTGACAACGGACAGCAGCTGCGGACACAGCAGACACAGCTCTCACACAGAGGAGCTGCTCATGCTCTCCGGTGTCATTGCAAACTCCCGTGAAAAGAGGACTTTCAGGAGGGCTTCAGAGAGTGGCAAGAGTGATGGGGTGAGTATCTTCTGAATCTTCTTGGGGTTTTTGTTTTTTGTTTTTGTTTTTTTTGGTACCAAGGATAGAATTCGGGTCCTTGCACTTTCGAGGCAGGCATCAGAACCACTGAGCTAAATCACAACCATGGGCTAAGTATCTTCTAAATAAGAGGAGGTACATTGAGGGGGAATTAATGGCAATGTGTCTTCCGCTGTAGTAAATTTAATTCAAACATTCACCAAATATTTTGACAATACCTCAAGCTAATGACTTATGTCTTTTGAATACTCACTCTGTACCAGACACCAAACTATGATTTTATTTTATTTATTTTTGGTTTTCTTTGAGACGGGGTCTCACTATGTAGTTGAGACTCACCTGGAACTCACTATGTAGCCCAAGCTGGTCTCGAACTCACAGTGATCCTCCTGCCTCAGCCTCCCGAGTGCTAGGATTATAGGTGTGCATCACCACGCCCGGCTCACACTATGATTTTAAAGCATGATCATATACTATAATTTTAGTTCCTATGTATTATCACATCTAATCCTCCCAATATCATCATCATTATCATCATCATTACCGGTTTTATAGCTAACATAGTACATTTCAGAGAAGTTACATAACCTGCCTAGCATTTTGCAAGTAAATGGCTACATTGGCAATCACATTCAGGCTAACTTAACATCAAAGCCTGAACTCTTGTCAGATTTACCAAATCTAAAAACAGTACTATTGGGGGAAATGGTGAAATCTGTCAAAAGGGTACAACAAAAAGAAAGAATAAATAAAACTATTATTAATATCAATATAATATACATATGTCTTCATATACATAATTAGAGGCAATATATGTGTGGCTTCAAATACATAATTGCAAACAACAAAAATATAAAAATACAGTCATTGTTCTCTCCTATAATTACTCATAAGCAAAATACACACATCAAACAATGTGTACATTCTAGCCCACAGAAGTAAATAATTAAGGAAAATGCAAACTAGATAGTCTTGATGTACTCCTATTCTCCTTTAAGCAGTCAATAAAATGTAAATTCCCACTGTTAACAGAGAACTTTTAATTACTTCATTTTTTAAAAACTGAGATACTACATTATCGGATAGGGTAAGTGAAACAGTGGGAGTTTCCAGGAAGCTAAACAAACACGCAGGTACTATAAAAAAGATGAACACTAACACCACGCCTTAAAGAAATGAAAATCTTGGCTCATCATTCTGCTCTATCAAAGCAAACTAGGAAAACAGAGGCACAAGGAAAGGAAAATGATAAATTCTACACGCAAGAATTGATTTTTCTAAAGAAAAAAGGTAGCATGGAGAGAGAAAGCACATGGTGAATGCTGTGACTCATGCATGTGTCTTTCCCGCACTTTCTGTCCCCTGAAGAGGCGCCTCTCTGCTTACTGAGTCAGGTCACACAAAGCACTGGGAGAAAACCATCCATAACCTGGCATCCACACCAATAGATTCCACTCAGGCGGGTGGAGGCGTCAGGCTCCAGGGGACAGCACTGCCCTGTCACAGTGCTTTGCCCAAAGCCTTAGCTGCAGTTCCAGCGATCCTTTCAACATTTTTTTGAAGGCATTCTAGGGAGGGATGTGAAGGCAGAAAAGAAGGAAAAAGAATGCAAAATAAAGCAAATTAAAGTTCCTGCCCTCTGACAGCTTTTAACTGGAGGAGAGCCAGAAGCACACAGGTTAACATTTTGCTCTAACTGGGGTTAAAAGGAAATGACTCAGATAACCCATGTAGTAGTTCACAGCTCTAGGAAGATGCAAGCTCAAAGAACCCCCAGAGACACTGTGTACAGCCACTGAGAGAAATTAAATTTCCTTGTGGAACACTGTCCACAGGAAAAGAAGAACTGGGATCCACAGAGGGAGTAACCCAACCTACAAAAGGGAAGCCACGAACACAGGAAAGGGTGGTCCCTCCAGAGCTGCACCACAGCAAGTAACCAAAGGCTCCATGAGTGCTTCGGCCCTGAGAAGAGAGGAATAGGCGGCTCTTCTGCACCCACATCCAAAGGCTCGGGTTCTATGCTTCAAAAGGACATCAAACTCATGAGTTCCAAGTGTTTGTCATATAAAACAGAACTTCGGGAATTCGGTGAAGTAAGAAAGCCAGCTGAAAACTATACATACTTAGTTAAACGCCTTCAATCGCTTCTCGGCCTTTCGGCTAAGATCAAGTGTAGTCCTATGACTTCACCTATCTGGGAATTAACAAAGAACATAAACCATCTCAATTACCAAATTTCATCCTGATGTATTCGTATGGATCTTCTTGCCACAGCTCTTCGTCTTCGTCTTTATAGCACATCACAGAAAAAATTACGTCCTCAGAGATTTTCTAAGATGAGAAACAACAAATGGAACAAGGGTACAGGCCACTGAAACTCGGGGACTACCAGTGTGTACTTATGGACGACCTTTACGGTGTGAGTTTTCAACTTGTTTTAATGCTTCTTTTAAGCCTGCATGCATTACAGTGACAGCGAGAGGACGCAGCGTAAGAATGTTTTTGAACAGCAAGTGATTAGAAGCACAGAGAAACAGACCAATGGAAACACTATTCTGTGAAGCAACAACAGGGATAATAAAGTTTTACCAACAAATCAACATTTAACATGTTGGGTTCCTTCAAAAAGAAAATATCAAGTCAGAATTGTATTTACTGTTAGATTTCTTATTTTTAAAATTTTTAACATTTCCATGTTGGTTGTAAATGCCAATATATGAGCAATATTAAAATGCATCTCTTTATTTTTTAAATATAGAATGCTTCCCAAATTTGTGGGTCATCCATACACAGGGGCCATGCTAATCTTCTCTGCATGGTTCCAATTTTAGTACTTGTGCTGCCGAAGCAAATACTAAAATTTAATTTTCTTTTTCCATTTTTCAAAAAACCTACTTCATACTTGATAACGGTGTGTTTCAGGGGAGAAAGTCCTAGCCAGAGGCCCCTCTTTACACTGCCACCAAAGCGTCATAGGCCCTCTGTGCCCTAGTAACTACTTATGTAAAAACAGGAGCATCTTTCATTGCTTACTTACCCAAACTGAATAATTCTAAGAAAAAAGTCAACCTAACAGTCGTTTTCTTATTCCTACATTACAGCCATGTAAAAATAAGGCCAAAGGTATCAAGTGGAGAAGAAATACTATCTCTACTCACTCTTACTTTATACAAATACAGGAAATAAAATGAACATAATATTTTATTAATTGCATAGAAATTACTATTAGATCAATGCAAGTAGGCAAATAGTTATTAAGATATCCACAAAAACAAAATATTTGTTAGCTCTTTTATAAAATAACACTATCTAAACTCTACCTGGGGTATCAAAGGCAAAGGGAAAGAATTTATTTCCTTGTCACATATCATCTTACAGAATTTAGGACCTTTAGAGGGGAAGATTGAGATCCCACTGTCCTTTTTTGTTTTTGTTTTTGTTTTTTGTTTTGTTTTTTGAGACAGGGTCTCACAATATAGTTGAGACTGACCTGGAACTCACCATGTAGCCCAGGCTGGTTTTGAACTCGCAGCAATCCTCCTGACTCAGCCTCTTGAGTGCTGGGATTACAGGTATGCACCACCATGCCCAGCTCCCACTGTCTTTTAATTACTCAGTTATTTATATACAAATAAGAATTTATTTATTAATGGCCTATAATTTTCCATTCTCATATTTAGCAAGATGGAATTCTATCTTTAAGTAAACAATTGGTATAAAAAAAGAAAATTTTAAATTTCTGCTATAAAATTTAACTGTCTAAAACAAGACAAACTTTTTTGCTCATACCTACAGAAGAAAGTGGTCATGTATCAGATCATTTTCTGCAAAATACCACCTTAGTTGAGGCCCCAGTGACAGTTATCAAAATGTCTTCAAAATTCTTCATTTAATCCTAGCAACCTTTTGATAAGGGCAGAAAAATACTACATGCCTTAACAGAAAGCAAACAGGCTACAGGAGATTTCAGACACGATCAACTGAAGCCGAGTCCTCCTGCACACAGAAACATCTCAATGCTTAAATCCCAGGCCTTTTACGTCAGATAGAAAACTGCTCACTAGAAGTTATTAATGGAAATAAAATGATATTAAGCATAAAATATAAGATTGGAAGTACCTGTATCTAGAAACCCTAAGTGAAATGAAGGACAATTTTGGAAAGCTGCGGTCTGTACACTACCTGCATGTGTGGCTTCATCTGCTTCCATGTTACAGAATGCACAACCCCTTGGTTGAGATAGTTGAATGCTTGCTGAAGAACACGGGGCGCTATGTATTCTTTCTGTCTATACTGATCTAAAATTTTTAGTAGCACCTACAAGCAAATAGAAAGAAAAAAAATAAGAGAAAGAATGATTGTAAGGTTAAAAGAAGGGGGGCACATTTCAAGCATGACATAAAATCCAGACTCCAGCGATAAAAATTACCAGATTTTAAGGGAAATTGGTATTTTGTGAGAAGGCTCACACAGTACTTTCAAGTCTCACATTCGTCTTATACTGAACGAAGGGGATCTTATCACAACTTTTAGGCATATGTCCTGTCTGACTTGTGGAACTACTCGGGAAAAATCTAACTTAATTCTATGTCTAGCTCTCCAGAATGAAGTAAGACTTCTGTTTTTAAAATGACAAATGTGATTGAATAAATATTTTAAAACCTCCATGTAGCAAGGCTCAGAACAGATTGTATTACTTGATACAAAAGATTCTTTCAGATTGGAGAGAAATGTTATTTAAAAAACAGTACTGGTACAAATGATTAGCCCGCTGAAAAAAAGATTAAATTAGATCCCTAAATGAACTTCATACCCAAATAAACTTGATGAAAAAATACTTCAACAACAAAATCATAGAGTTCTTAGAAGAAAACGCTGGAGAATTTTACTTTATAATCTCAGACCACAGAAGTTTTCTGAGACACCCCACAAGTGAAGAGTCCTTTCTCTTAGGCTGACTAAATCAGCCGTGTAGGAGAACCACACACAGGAGCATAGTGTGGGCCAGAGGCCAGCAGGCAGAGGCCGTGCTATAGCACAGCCCAAGTCTTCTTAGTCTCCAGCACCTCGCTGCCTCAGTGAGCTGCTAAATCTTTCAAGATACATACACAATCTATAAATTCAGAATATGAATTGTACTCACGTAACATTTTTTCAGGTTTACAAGATGTCATAAGCCCTACAATCACCTGGAAAGTCCTTTCTCAATGGATTCTAAAAAGATACTATCACTCTTCCTAGCACAATCGTGGCTTACACAAAGTGGGGAGCCGCAAGATGATACACAACAGTGGGGGAACGAACAATTCTTCGTAAGAAAACCATTTTTAAGTATCAGGAACCTTTATCCTAAATAGCCAAATGCCAAGGATTTATGACAAGGATACAGCGGCATGAGATTTATTTTTAAACATGTTTATATGACGCTAGAAAAATCCTACTGAACACACTGCAAAAGGACATCGACCTTAAGATGCTTAACAAAATTTCACTACAGGGCTCACCAGCTCCCTGATTATTTTGGACCACAGTGAATTGCTAAACAGATTATTTTATTCACTATTCATTAATTTTCCCTGATGATTTGTCTTATGGAGCAACAAAATAATGTGAAGAAACTAGAGCTAGTTTTCCTGAATTGCAGATGGTACTTTTTAGAACTCGTTCTACTGGCCAAAATGATGATCTGTAAGCAGAAATACTCCACCCTAAGGTGAAAGGCTAAATGCACTTCACTTTGTACCACTGACCAAAAATACCCTTTTATCATTCAAGCCACTGCCTATGTCTAATTAATTAATCTTGGTCCTGGTTCAGCAGGTGGTTAATAGTTAGGTTTTGTTTAGATATAAATAAAAATATCATGATCCAAATGGAAAAACTCCTCTACAGTTTTGAAAGTCTTTAAATATTAGTATTAATTTAGTTTCTCCACACCTCCTAATTTTCATGGTATACAATGTTTCCCAAATTCTGTACTTACACAGATGTATAAGTATTTTTGTTGTTGTTGTTGTTGTTTGGGAGGTTTTGTTTTGCAATGCTGGAGACTGAACCTAAGGTCTCATACCTACTAGTCAAGAGTTCTATCACATGTGCTACATGTTCAATCCTTTTTTATTTTGAGATAAGATCTAAGTTGTTATGGCTAGACTCAAACTTGTGATACTGCCTCAGCCTCCCAAGTGGGTGGATTGCAGGCATGTGCCATCACAAACAACTTAAGATGCTCAATTCTCAGTCGAGAGTCAACTACTCTTAAAAACAGATCAATTTGTGTTATACAAAATTTTTAAGATAAAAGTATAGACAGAGGTGAAGCTCCTAGCTTTTTGGGAAACTGAGACAGGAGGATCAGTTTAAGGCCACATGGGCAACTCAGTAAGAGCCTGTCATCAAAAAAATAATAATATATATATAATAAAATGACATACTGCCTATGCAGCTTAGTAGCAGAGCAGGCACAACTCCTAGATTCTATCCTTAGTATTGAAAGAAAAAGAAAGAAGCAAAGCTTGAAGACATAAGAGTTTAAGAAACTTGTAAGAGGTCAGAGAGTTCACAGGAGAACCCAATCTAACATAACATCCTTTCTGCAAGTGACAAGGTTTAGGCCACAGTCTAGCAGTCAGGATGGGCAGTTCTGGGGCAACTTCCTTGCAACATTTGATAATAAAACTAATTGCACTGTACTGGTTCCCAGAGCAGCCATTTTATCCTCTACAAATGTGTAATGAAGTGACGTGTTCGTGATCCACTTCTCAGGACGTAGAAATGGCTTAACTACCTCTTCACAATAATCATTCTTCTCTTCCAAAAGCACATGTGTATTACCTGCTGAATTCCCACTGCATAGGTTTTCAAAAAGAATTCAGAAAATTCAAAGTATTCTTTTGTGACATTTCCTGGGCTTCCATACCTTAAAATTCAAAGATAAAATATTTAAAATGTGAAATTTTAAAACAAAGCACGCTCATTCATTTAAATTAATCATTAAAAGACATCTTTTCTTGGGGCAGAAAACTACCCTTTTTCAAAGCCACAAAATGAAGTCCTGGGGAGCCATACTTACGGCTATGCACTTATGTACCTAAGACCTAACTATATTTACACGTTTCACACAGAAGCATTGCTTTGTAACCCAGAAGACCCTAAAGGACCAATATTAAGAATGAAAATGTTGTATTTGACAGGGAACGATTTCTTTCAATAAATGCTTTTAAAATTAGATTTTTTTCTTAAGGAGCTAGTGGCCTTGCACCTTCTTGCACAATTCCTGGCTATTTCCAATGGACTGAATAATGTTACTTTTCCCTATTTTTCCATGGAAAAATAACAAAGAAAGAAAGCTGCCCACCTCATCATCTCAAAACCAGTGATCACAAGTAAATGACTTTAAACAGAAAGCGACTCTTGGGGCTCTACGGCCTCAAAGACAAATAATCATACACTGCGGTGCAGGAAGAGAACTATTCAATTTTATCCCCTGTAGTCCTGAGCTACAGACTACAACATAATAAACGTAATGAAGAGTTACCGCTCAAAAAGACGAGCTACAATATGCAGCGCCCACTTCTTACACTTCCACCACACCAGTTCTGGCCTATCATCCTCGTCGATCTGCAGCGTCTCCTAAAACAGGAAAAGCGCCAGATTAAACTCCTGCACAAAAACAATGTATGTGAGTAACAGAAGTAGAATAAAGCTTTGTACAGATTAAGTCCTATTAAGTAGAGAGTTAGCTTGCTATGCAAACGCAGAGTCTCGCTCTACTGACACTACGTAGCAAATTTCAACTACCCACTGCTGCTATTCACATTTATCTATCTCCAAAAGGATCCAGTAAGAAAACAAAATACTAACACCACGGTTCTTTGATGAAACTCTGAGATGACAGAACAGTTCTACATTTTGATGTAAGTGCCAGTAACCCAAATGTTATCAAAATTCATTGAACCATTTACCAAATTTTGTGTATTTATGTATGTACATTAAACCTTTACTTTGTTTCAAGAAAATCCACAACGGGGTTGGGGTGTAGCTCAGTAGTAGAGTATGTGCTTAGTCCTCAGTTCAATCCCTAGTTTCCAAAAGAAAAGAAAAAAAAAAAACTGTATCTTTCAGGGACGGGGATTTAGCTCAGTGGTTCCAACACTTGCATTGAAAGCTCAAGGACCTGAGTTCGATCCCCAGTACCACAAAAAAAAAAACTGTATCTTTTAAGAATGGCTTAAATTTTAAAATATGAAATACAAATGAAAAATATAGTGAATGTTTAAATCTTTTAAGCCGTATCACAGTAACAGGCACATCACCATTGATCTGTCTCAAAATACAACCCTCTTCCATGAGTGTGTTTCAGTTATGCTGTCTTGGCTGCCTTGGAGTCCTGAATTTATTCAAAATGTTTACCTTTCATGATCATTCTGACTTTGAGGGAGAGCGACACAGTACCAGATGCAGGGAGTGAGGTGGACGAGGACACTGTGGCGTTTGTACAACCCCACCTTCTGCTGGATGGCACCACATTTACCACATCTCATAAAGACACACGAGGACTTCCAAAGTACTCCAGAGAGAGGCAAGAATGACAGGATAAACGTATTCAAAGCCAATGGGGAACTCTGAGGTAATGTGTCTCTTACCATAATATTTTAATTTAAGCATTCACCATATTCTTCGATGATCAGCCCTTATAATTCAATTTAATAAATGAAAAACAGTATCATTATTGCAGATCAAAACGAGAAACTATCTTTTACCTACAAAACAGGCAAATCTAGAATGAAGGGTGTACTTATGACAGCATCTTCCATCACTGCATATTAAAGTACAGTTCTAGGCATTCACCCAAAGAAAATACTGTAATTGCATATATGCACAAAAACGTATACACAGCTGGGGATTCAGCTCAGTGGTGCCTCCGTCTGCCTTGCAAGCACAAGGTCCCAAGTTCAATCCCCCATACAAAAACAAACAAAAAATGTACATATATATCATCCTACAGTTAAAACCATAAAAAATTAAAAACAACCTAAACATCCAGCAAATGAATCATCTTATAAAAATGACAATGTATAAAAAATATTTCATATTAGATCTTAGATGAAAAATGAACGTCAAGGTATCTACATGTACTATATCTACATGTACTGTTCTTATAAATACTATAAATGTAGAGAAGAGAGACTAAAGGAGGAAGTATCAAGTCTTAAAATAATTTTTTCCATTTTAGTAGGAATAGTTATTATATTTTTGCTTTTACCTATCTGAGCTTACCAAAAGTGAGTACAGTATTCTGATTATTTTATTAATCAGCTGTGTTAAAGTCGGAACTGTTTTTCCAATAGCAGGCTGGGCTGATGAAGGCTACCTTAATACTCACGGCTCACCACCTGCTTGGTGGGACAGTGCTCGCCAACCCCGTGTGAGGCTCTTAGAGAAGCACCCCAAACCCAAGTTCCCCCAGGCCTCCCAAGGAAGGGGAGCCCTGCCTCACCGGGGGCACTGTCCGGTCAATGATGCTTCGGAAGATCTCCATCCACGTCGTCATGGTTTGGTTATTCACCAGCTGAAGAGGCAACACGTACTGCAAAACAGAGCGGCATACACAACTGTTTCTCCTCTCCACCAACTTGGTGATTTTATCTATATTAGCGTGGTAAGTATACAGAATAACTAACATTTGAGCATGGCAATAATAATTTCATGATTTAACTCAAAATTTAACTTAAATCTATAAGCATATATATTTGAACTTCTAAAACCCTGACACGTATACGCTATGATTTGTCTCTCTGAGCTACTTTGCAAAATGAAAAATATTTTCAACAATAAATTCTCATTTATGCTGCGTGACATTGTGGTGAGTGATTTTTACCATTCGCTCCTTTTTCAAACCATTAATTTTAATCGCTGATGAAAACACTCACCAGACACCTTCTCGACTACTTTCCTCTGCATGGTGGCACTTTTAGCACAGGCCACTCTGCACTGCCTGCTCCCCTGCACAAAGACTGACAAGAGAGGGGCGGAGGACCCCACCCCACTCCTTCCACATGTGCTTGCTGCACACTGAAGAACTGACAGTGTTAGTCAGACACAGCCAGTGCCCCACAGGCTAGAACAGCAAAAGGAAAGGAAGGGTAGAAGCTAAAGGTGGAGGGCCAGGGGTTATGGGCTAAGAAGTTTACAGTCCTCTCCGAGTGCCCTGGGAGAGGCACCTGAACTTGAGACCGAGTTCAGAGGAGCAGGCGGAGGGATGGGCAGAATGGAGTGATTTCTGAGATAAGTAGGAAATATCCAAGGGTCATATACAGATAAATGCTACATAGAATCAATCTCACTTCTCAGACTCTTTTTTTTTTTTTTTGGTACTGAGGATTGAACTCACAACCTTGTGCTTTCGAGGCAGGTGTGGTGCCACTGAGCTAAATCCCCAGGCTGACTTCTCAGACTTTTAAAAATAATTCCTCCACCTCTTACATTACTGCATTATCACTATAATTGGGTCTCTTATAGTCTTTTAAATTATTGCTTCCAGAGGATTGGTGCATAACGGATTACCAAAATAGTTTAATGTGTTGTGGGCTTTTCACTGGTTTTTATAGGTTTTCAGCATATAGAACAGGTCAAGAGAAAAAAAATTTAGATTTTGGCTTGTTGGCAGACCAAGCAGAGGAAGAGGCCTTAAAAAATTATTTCGTCAGCCTATGTCTTATTGCCTGATTCCCAGCTATGTTTCTCCCAAAAGGAAAGGCAAGTCTGGCCCTAAATAAATGGAATATTTCTGTACCTCCTGACAGAACATCTTGTTGAATAAAAGCTTTGCCTCAGAGTAAAGTGATCCTCCAGAGGACAACTTCTAAATATCACTTTCATAAAGGAACCATACATGTTCCTTATTTTTTTAAAAAAAGATGGGAAAATATATATCCCTAGTACAGTGGACCCTCGAGTTATGACTAACCTGACATATGAACGACTCAGATTATGACCGGAATTTTAGTTTTAACTTATGAAAAAAGTCTTGAGTTACAACGTGAACGCCAATTGCTTGTGCTTCGAGATGGTCTCAGATACAGATTTAACCCTTAAAGAGTTCAGGAAGGAACATGACAACGTCCTTTCCTGTGTGGGATTAACTGAGAAATCCTGGGCCAGTGTCTCTGAGGACCCAGAGATCTGCCTGAGTATAGGAGAGAGACTTTGAAGGCTGTGCAGAGGAGCCTGAGCCTTCACTGACCAATGTGAGTTACAGCCAGCCCTTGGGAACAAATTGAGTTTGTAAGTCAATGATCCACTGTATCCTATTTTCTTCTCTCAGATTTTCCTCCTTCCCTCTTTCCTTTCCTTCCTTCAAAACGGCTGACCTGAAAAAAAAATTGCTCAGATTATCAGTTTAAAAGATGAAAAAGATGAGACCTTAATAAAACTATAAATCTGTACTGGAGTGAAATATTTTGAAACAGCACAAAGATACCTAAGTGAAGGCACAGAACAGATCTAAACGATCTCAATGTTGTAACTGAACAAAACTATCCTTTCGGCAAAAATAGAAAACATCTGAGTTCTGATGTACTCATTATCGAATGATTTAGGCTGACAACTAATTACTCTTCCTAACCCACACCTAAATAATTTACCAAGTCCTTTAAGAATTCACTGTTACGGACCGGAAATTTAGCTCACTGGTTCAGCCGCCTGCCTGGCAAGCGCAAGGTCCTGAATTCGATCCATGGTACCAAAAAAAAAATTCAATGTTAAATATCTTTGCTTTTCAAACACATTCTCTATCGTGTAAGTATTTTTTCAATTCTCATGTTAGTAGCCATCATAGTTTTCAGATTAGATAAAAGATGATATTTGTTTCGTTTTGTTTTGGTGCCTGGGATCAAACTCACGACCTTGTGCTTGTGAGGCAGGTGCGGTGCCCTGAGCTAAATCCCCGGCCCTAAAAGATGATATTTTAATCAAGGAAAATAAGACCCTAAACCTTCTTTATTAGCTTTAGGTTGGATGGAAGGCAGAGAAACTGTTATCAATATGAATTCCCAATAAAAGAGACTCCTCTTCTCCCTTTTTTCCTATAATGTGTGTCATCGTGCGACTTAAGCTGTGTAAACAGCACAGTGTATGAACACAGAGTTTATGAAAATAGCTGAAGTTAGCTGTAACATCACTAGTTATCTAGCCTAACAGATGCTCTGAACAGGTAATTCAGACACAGGTTGTAAGACAAGTAAAATTCTGGTTCATGTTCATCCAAGACTCCATACACTCGCCCAGCGTGATGGCGCACGCCTATAATCTCAGCACTTGGGAGGCTGAGGCAGGAGAATCGCTGTTAGTTCAAGACCAGCCTGGGCTACATGGTGAGTTCCAGAGCAGTCTCAACTACATAGTGAGACCCTGTCTCAAAGAATACAAACAAAAACAAACAAAAAAATAAATAAATAAAACAAGACTCCATACACAGGGGTGATAGCACAGATACCGAATCTCTCCTCTGCTGCCCCAAAGACTGTGAGCAATTAATTTCTGTGAACCTGTCTCTCCTAAAGTTCTTTTCAAAGAAATATCTATGAAAAGATACAATTTTTAATAATAACTGCTAAGTACTGAGCACTTTCAATGTGTCAGGTAAAAATATAAGCCTCATGTCTGTCTGCACAACAGAAACTCACCTGAACAAGTGCATAAAAGATCTTCAGAATCTGTTTCTGTAGTAACACAGAATAATGGGAGGAATCCGGAAGGAGCTGCATGATCTGTTGCTGAATTCGTGGCAGAAATATCTGCATTGCTGCAATTAGAGGCTCTCTTTCTTCTGCTTTCTTATATCTACATGAGAAAGACGAAAAGAAAAGTAATATCTCCCCTCTTCCCCAAAGATCTATAAATAATGACTGAGAAGCATTTTTTAATTACATAGAAACAAACAAATAACAACAACAACAACAAAGCCAGGTTTATATTCTGGCTGGATTGCAGAAATAGTTGAAAGGAATTTTAAGAGAGCATCTCCTTGTTTGAGGGAAGATTCCTAAAATCTTTCTAGAAAGAATATTTTTAAAGAATCTAGGGCTATTCTTGTGTAAATTTATCTAGTACTTAAATTAATTTTCCTCAAGCAACAATTTTTCTATAAAATATAAGCTGACGTGCTAGTTTCAGCATTTGGGAGGCTGAGGCAGGAGGATCGCTCTGAGTTTGAGACCAGCCTGGGCTACACAGTGAGTTCCAGGGCAGTCTGAACTACATAGTGAGACCCTGTCCCAAAACACCCAAAATCTACAAATAGAATATAAACTAACCAATTCAATAGAGAAAAAGCTACAGGATTTTGTACGCAAAGCTATCAATCCTATTGAGAAATCAAAAAATAGTATTAAATGTGATACTAGTCCTCCACCTCCCAAACAACTTTTATGGGGAACCTCACTAACAAAGAAACTAACATTTTCTATCTTGCATCCAAACAGGTATTTGATTTGATTCACTTCAAATCAAATGTTACGGTATCTCTACATCACAGTTTCCAGGGTAAGCTGTGAGCAAGTAAACGACACTGAAACTAACTGGAGAAGCACTGCACAGTATTATGTCGCTGTCTTGGGAATCAGCAATATGTATAACAAAGTTAAAGCCTCTTTGGATAACTGCAGTCAAATAGGGTATAGCTCAGCGACAGGGCACTTTCCTCACACACACAGGCCCTGAGCACCATCTCCAGTAACACACTCATGTGCACACACACACACGTGAAAAAGAAATGCAGTAAGTAAATATGTTTAATTGTGTTCACTGCCGCATTTTCCAAGCTAGCATGATTCTGCCAAACACCCACAAAAGACCCCTCTATACAATATGCTCCCAGTTACTTACTCGTAAGTCTTCACCAGTTGATACAGACATAATAAACTGCCAAGCCAGCTCCCACTGTTCTGTGACTGTAAGTAATAGTTTATCTTGTCAACCACCGCTGGCCAGTGACCAGGAAAATCATGTTTGATGATGACACGGAGACACATTGTTAACTGGATTCTAAAAGGTGATGAGAAAGGCCGAAATTTAAGCAGCTGCCAGTTATCATGCAGCGAAGACCTCTGATATTTTACATGAAAGTGTTCTTACCTATTTACCCACATTATAGCTACCGTCATCCATTGCTTGGCCACCTGGATAATGTTCTAAGAAACGTGTTCTGCACTTAAGTTGTGTGAAGGACACAGCGTGCACTTTCATAAACAAGATGGCTACCTCACCACCCAGTGACACAACCTTGAGGGACCAAGGGTGACAAAAACATGACTATGCTGCCCTCGGCTGTATCTACATGTAATGGGGAGGGAAAAAATAGTCCTATATAAAGAACCTCCTCGATGTCTCCATTTGTTGAAAATAAACAGAATGGAGGATATCTTAAAATTAATGAAACCTCTCAGACTGTCTTATCCTAAAGGCAACTTTTTTAAAAAATGAACATAAAAATAAGTTCATAAAAATTCCAAGACAGTGAATCTACTTCAGCTCTGTAAAACTTCTCATCTCGCTGTATTTTGTATTTTGGTAATCATATCCTAAAGGACAGGAAGGCAAAAGCATGTACGATTTCGGACAAACCTAGTATACAGGTGGTAGGAGTAAGGGATACAGAAGCCTTACACCGCAGGACCCTTCTCTGTGCACCAAACGTGACCACCACCCTCACCAGCTTCTGCCAGCCTAGTGTGCTGCTCTTGTCAAAGAGCATGAGACACAACTTTTGTTCTTTGAGCATAAGAAAGAAGTATGGGCCCGGGGACTTAGCTCAGTGGTTCCACCAAGCTCAAGGACCCGAGTTCAATCCCCGGTACCAAAAAAAAAAAAGAAGCATATATTAAGTATATATTAACTAAGTATCTCTGAAGAGGAAAACTAAGAGCTATTTTCAAAGAAATAAATGGGAAAAGCAACAGGAAAGGTATGGACAGTAAAAAGAGAATATACCTTTAGTAAAAGCACAAAGTGAAGAGGTAAAAGATGTTATCTCATAACACTTAGATCAATTATCATTTCCTCGGTGAGTTCTCAACTGCATTTGAGATTAAAAAGAAATAAGGAAAAATGTCCCTTCTACAAACTACAATCAATACTATCACTAAATATGTCCCATATGGTCATTTGCAAATGCTAAGAAAATTAACCTGACAAAAAAGGATTCAGTTGAATGGCCAATAACTTTGATTCCTTATGTTACATATGTATTAGAAAAATTTCTTTCCAATGCTTTTAAACAAAGTTGGATAACAAGAAGAAAATCAGTCTCTGAGGACAATTACAATTAAGCCATAAGGCAATAGAAGAAGCAAAGCCACAAATAACTGTGTTACATAATAGAGACAGAGATCTCTTCTGTGCCACAGGAAGCAGTCCTTTAAATGAGTAAGTCACATTTCTATGCAATATAACTTGTGGGGAGACTCTGGCCAAAGGAGTGGAAAGGGAAAAGGAAGGGACCTTGGGAACCACAGTTACCAGGCTCCTGAATGCATGGTTAAGTTTAGAGCAGATCTGCCAGACAGCAGTCGGCAGAATCAATAATAATTATTCTCAGAGATGTTGGCTTTGGCCATTTTATCTCCTTGCCCTGATAAGATCACTTGAACTATGTCAACATGTGTCATGTAACAAGGCACCCATTCCTCCCTGCCCCTGACCAAAACTCCTACAAAATGCTGCAAGTGCTTTTCTTCTATATCTTTGTTCTCATGTCCTTGAGTTACAAATAAATAACCATGGAGGTCTCAGCTGTTTCCTGAGGCTTTCTTAGGCCAAGAAGCAGCCCCTCTGGGTTTCTCAGTGATGGAACTAAGTCGCGTCTCTCAGTTATCTTTCATCCTCTGTGCCACCATGGTCATGCAACAATAACAAAAAAATTTCATCTTCAGTCCTTTCTCATGCCAAGCCAAGCAAAGAATGGTCTTTCATGTATCACTATGTAGAATCACTGGAGGATTCAAAGAGATCAGAAATTGTAAGCATTCTGACAAGAAATGGATATACGATGTTATCACAGGAGTATCAGGGCCACAACTGGCATTCGGGCAACCAATGAGAACGGTTAACTATCAGAGTAACTGCTCACTGTCCGTTGTTCCTGTTACCATTTCCCTCAAACTTCTTTCCTCTTCTATCCTCATGTCATAATGCATAGTAGACACTCAAGGTTAAAGTTGTAACTAATATCTTAATAATTTCATTCCCTTACCACTGTTTTATTGGTTTGCCCCTCCATTTTCTAAAGAAACTTACTAGCTCCTATTCTGAAAAGGGTTTGTTTCTCCTGTCTTAAGATTGCAAACTTGGTGGATGAGGGTGTGGCTCAGTAGTTGCGTGCTTGCCAGCATGTGCAAGACCCTCGGTTTGATCCCTGGTTCTACACACACACACACACACACACACACACACACACACACACAACCTTCTCAATGTAGGACTGCAAAATCGAGGTGACTCTACAGCTATGCCATCCAACAGAGCAGCCACCTCCACTCACTCCCATGCACACTTCAAATGAATCAAAATTCGGTGGGATTGAAAATGCAGTTCCTACAACTACCCACATTTCAAGTGGAGAAAACCCACCCATGCCACGTGGTTAAAAGTTGGACAGCAAGAATAAAGAACGTTCCTATCGCTGCAGCAGACCGTGCTGCTCTGCACATCTGATTTCATCTATGAATTTTAAAAGCTGATGTCAGTTACTCTAGTTCACATGTACTCTATCCTATCTCCTTCAAAGAGAAAGAGATTCCGTTCAGAAAAAAATGAATAAAAATATAGATACAGGGTCATGATAAGTGGTAGGTGAGGATTCCCAGAACCAATCTCTAGTGATCAAAGTAAAGAAAGGCAGATAGGGGCTGTGACTAAGAATTCAGGCAACTCACTTTGCAGGGACTTACATTTTCGTTAAGTGTCATTTTTACCTTACCTCTTTTTGTAGCAATTTATGGCAACTAAATGTTTTCCAAAATATTTTGTGGCAATTAAAAATGCAAAGATAAATAAGTAAAATAATATTCTTTGAGTGTCCATCTTCTATATTTTATCTCTTTAAAAAACAAATTTGAGGCTGATAATCAGATCCAACAGGACCCATCCCCAATTCCAAGCATTTCACACATCCCGGCGATCAAATATAGAGAGCATACCGTACCTCACTAAATCAGGAGACCGAATTATCCCTTCCACAATGTTATCGCGTATCTGCTGGCGATCGTTTTCATGAATGTTGAATGGAAAGACTGCTTCTCCCGGTGGAGGCTCTCGGTCCGGCCAGTACTGTGTCACCATGTTCTTCAGATAGATAGCGGCTACATTTGAGGGAAAAGTCCTAATGTGTTAGTGTCAGAAAGATGGCTTTAACTCAGCCCTACGGAGTAGGAACAGCTAAATCCTTCAGTGTTACACACGACACCTAATATTCATGGAAAACCTTAGAAGTACTAATACCAAGAGGCAAAGCAGAAATGGGCAAGAACTTAAAGATTTCTCTAACGAGTCCAAGCAGAAACACTTTGTCAAATGAACCTGCAGAGCCTAAGTAACAAAAAAATGATCGAGGCATCATGTATGTATCTTTAGACTAAACACAGGTGCTCTAAACCAGAACAGATGCGGCACACATTAAGATCATAAAATCACACTTCTCACAGCGCTGAACTGATGACCAGGGAACGTCTACATCTCTTCCTATAGATTCTATTGTTACTTATTTTATTTCACTGGCTACTACCCTGCAATACCACTGTGGAGTATCTATGATTTTTACAGCATTGGGAATTTTTAGGTCATTCTTTTGAAATATTGATTTAAGTATAATTAGTAGGAAAATGGACATTAATCTTCAAATATTTTTAGAAAATCTCAGGAAATTTTTACCTGTTTATTTCTAACATAACCCAAAATCCTATTCTTTTGGAGTTTGTTTGCTTGGTTTAGTTTTTTTTTGAGACAGGATCTTGCTCTGAAGTTCAGGCTGCCCTTGAACTCACTGTGTAGCCCAGGCTGGCCTTAAACTCGTAACAATCCATCTGTCTCAGCCTCCTGAGTGCTGAGATTACCAGCATGCGCCACCAGTCCTGGCTCCTGTTCCTTTTTAACCACCTTCAACTTTTAATAAAAAGCTTTTGAGCCGGGGATTGAGCTCAGTGGTTCTGCCACCTGCCTTGCAAGTACAAGGACCCAAGTTCAATACCCCATACCAAAAAAAAAAAAAAGCTTTTCAAAGAAATAAGCTGAAATACTGCTATAAGATTTTAAGAGGAAATTGAAACTTTCTATTCCAGGTGAACACTGAATCACTGAATGTAATTAAATACATATATATTCTTACACCCATGTGAGTAAGGCATCACCCATAAAACATCATAACTTTGAGATTCCCCTCTGGCCCCTCCAACCCTTCTTTCACCCCACTTTTAACATAAAACTAAATGGGTTAGTAAAAGCGTTGCCTCAAGGCTGGGGTGTAGTTCAGTGGTACAGTGCCTGCATAGCAAGCATAAGGCCCTAGGTCTGAATCCCCGTACTACAAGGGAAGGGGGAATAATTATACAAGAATAATTATAAACCAGTATGTTCTGCATTGGCTAAAACATAATAAAAATTTAAAGCGACTATAAACTTGACATCCTATACGCTCCTCTTTTTTTAGTTTTTAATCATGAAGGATCTCTAAAAAGATTTCACCTAGGATTTCAATTTGGGTAAAAACAAGTAATAGTAACCATATTAATAATCTTTGAGTTAATTTGAGGATTTCTGTTTTCATTTAGATCAAGTGCTACACTAAGTATGATCTCTTATCTCGATACAATTACTATGTTCTAGAACTGTAACTGGCAGAGTACACATTTAATAAAAATGTGTAAATAGTTCAAAAAATGAATGATCTAAAGATATGAACCAACCTGTCAATAGTTCATACTGATTTCATGAAATTAATCTTTCTAAAAAGGAAAAATCAACTACATTATACAAAAATCATTTCAATCCCTATAGGACTAGTCTTTTTATTTTTGTACCAGGGATTGAACTGGGGTCCTTACCCTTGCGAGGCAGGCCACCGAACCGCTGAGCTAAATCCCTGGCCCCCTATAGGACTAGTCTTAAAAGCAAGCTTCAGACAGCAAAGATAGACACATGGTAGTAAAATCATGATTTATTTATAATTTATATATATGCTGTTAATTTTATAACTAAAAATTGATTTTATTATGGGTCACCATGCAAGATAGCTTGTTACAAAAGGCACGCTGGGGCCGGGGATTTAGCTCAGTGGTGCCACCGCCTGCCTCGCAAGTGCAAGGTCCTGAATTCAATCCCCGGTACCAAAAAATTAAAATTTTAAAAAAGGCACACCGATTTGTGTATAGTTAAGTGAACATATAATTAAAATTGAATTTAATATAATTTAAGAAGAGAATATTAATTATTGCTATAAATAATTATGGATTACTAAGGATAATGAAAGAAACAATACCAAAGATAATAGTAACCATATTAAAAATACAAAAACCTCCCTTGAATCATTTAATTCAAGTTGTCAATTTTTTTTTTTTTTTGGAACCGGGGATCAAACTCAGGACCTAGCGCTTGCTAAGCAGGCAGCACAGAGCCACTGAGCTAAATCCCCGGCCCTCAAGTTATCAATTTAATTATTTGTCAAAGCTGAGAAACAAAACACTTATATAATGTAATTCATAGAGGCAGTATTAAACTTCATCTTTCCTACAAAATCCACTTACCATTTTATGTATCTTTGAAAGCTAACTTTTTAAATTTATTTTTACACAAAATATATTTGTACAAAATACATTATAGCAATTCAATACACACAGTTCGTGTAACACATGAATACAGTGTGTAATAATCAAATCAGGGTAATAGGCATTTCCAGTTCTTTAAACATTACCTACTTTTCTGTGTTAGCAATTTTGTACTCTTCCAATCATCTTGAAACACATCACGGATCAGCCTTGGATTTTAAGACAAGGTCCAGGTTGGCCTCAAACGCTCCATCTCCTGCCTCAGTCTCCCCAGGGCTGCAATTACAGGTGTGACCACCACAACTGACCTATCACAGTGTGTTCTAACCTCCGTGCATCCTACGATGCCAGGGAAGAAGCCCGGGTTCTGGTCCCCCTGCCCTTCCCAGTCTTCAGTGACCACTGTTCCATTCTGTTCTCCCGAGTCTGGCCTATTAGTCTCCACAAAGGAGAACACCAGGCATTTGTCTTTCTGTGTTTGCTAATTTCACTTAATGTAATGACCTTCAGTTCCTTCCATGTTACTAGAAAGACGAGACCCTACCCCTCAGTGGAATAGTGTTATGGTTTGGGTCTAGATGTCCCCCACAAAGACTCATGCGGTCAGAGGTGGCTGTATCTGGAATGTGTGATGCTGGGATTAAGGGCCTGTGATTACTAAACTGCTACTCATGAGTGACTGGTTTGGCACCACCCTAATCCTGGTGGTCTGGATGGGATAAGAGGGGCAGAAAGACACTGTTAAGGTCTCTTGTTGCTTTTTCTGTCTTCCACTGCCATGAACTGTTGCCCCTCTGCCACCCTGCCCTGGAGCCAGCCGATTATAGACTAAAATCTCTACAAACTATGCCAAATAAGCCCTTTCCTCTTTAACTTTGGTTGTTGGGTATTTTGTCTCCGCAATGAGAGAAAGGCAACTAACACAAATAGCATTCTATTGTGTATACATGCCACATTTTCTTTATCCACACATTTATGGAAAGGCTTCTGGGTTGATTCTGTATCTTAGCTATTACAAACAGTGCTGCAATAAACAAGGGAGTGCAAATATCTTTCCGCAATGATTCACCCTCCTCTGGATACATACCCAGCAGCAGCCTTGGTAGAGCATATGGTAGTTCTATTTTTGTTTTTTGAGGAATTTCCACGTTTGTCACAGTAGCTTTGCTAATTTACATTCCCATCAACTGTGTAGAAAAGTCCCTTTTTCTCTACATTCTCATCAGCATTTGTTTTTGTTTTCCCCTGTGGTGATGGGAATTGAACGTAGGGCCTAAAATATGCTAGGCAAACGTTCTACTACTGAACTATATACCCAGTCCATTTTTGTCTTTTTGTTTGCTTTTGATTTGGGGTTTGTTTTAATTTGGTTTGGGTTTGGATCTTGCTACAAGCTGGCCTTGAACTTACTAAGTAACCCAAGCTTGCCTCAAACTGGCAGCGATCCAGCCTCCTGATGGCTGGGCCATTTTTGTTTTTTTGATGATGGCTATTCTGAGGTGAAAGGATATCACACTGTGGCCCTGATTCGTATGAAATGGACTTTCTAAGACATACACGTGGCTCTCTCCTTCTCAAACACAAAGGATCATCACTTAAACTATTCTCTGCACTCAGCAACACAACTACAGAAGTAGACTAGGTTCTGCAAGCTCAAAGGGTTGAGAAGGTGCTGTTATAAACCTGATGAAACCATGCTTTTAAGTGGGCTTTCTAAATTTGGTCATCTGGGTCACCTTTCCCTGATCTATTAAAAGACTAGCAAACAAATGTGTAAACTGTAACTAAAATAAAATTAAATACTTATGAGGAACAGCTGAGAAACTTCCTACAAAAGTAACAGTTTTAACAAACATGTTTCTTGAGCTGCTTCTGAACAATCAGCACCCTCTTTCTGTTTCTAATTACTGCATTTTAGAACACTGAGCTTAGTCTTAACAATCTCTGACTGGGTAAATGTAAGCTAAATTTTTTATCACCTCCCTATTTACATTTTGGACATACAAAAAGTAAAAATCCCAGAAGAACAAAAACCAAGCAGGTTACAGAAATGAAAACTATGCTTTTTTTTTCATTTCCAGCCCTTTTTAAAAATTATTTTTATTTTGACATAGAGTCTCAATAAGCCATAAGTTGCCCAGGCCAGCCTCAATCTTGAGATGCTCCTGCCTTAACTTTACACAGAGCTGGGATTCCAGGTGTGCACCACCACGGCCAGCTCCACACTGTTTTCCAAATGATGGCCCCACGTCAGTCGCCCCAATGACTCCGTCAGCAATAACGCCCACAACCACCAGTGTTAAATCCAAAACTGCGCCTTGTCCCACAGCAACTCCAAAGTACGCTACAAAGAGTCATTTCTAAACGCTTTTACTCATATTAAAGAAATTTTACTACATTTACTAGAAGAGTAAATTTTACTCTTTATACATAAGGAAAAAACTTTGGAAACAAAAGTGACTTGAGAGATTCCCAACCACAACTCTGGTATTCCATATCTAAAGTAGGCTTCCTTCCTGCACCCTCCGTGATATTGTCCTTTA